AAGATGATAGGACATACTGAGACAATTATCGAGGAATCAGCCTACTAGACGTCTCAACGAAGATTTTTACATCCCTTTTATTCAATAGACTTATGGAAGTACGGGACAGCAGGATGGGCCCTAATCAAGCTGAATTCAAACCGGGGCATGGTTGAGTTGACCAGATATTCACAAAGAGTGTTGAAACATCGCTTATCTGCAACCCATCGTTATGTGTTTCATCGATTTCATCGACTTTGCGGCGACCTTTGATAGAATAGCGCTTTGGAGAGTAATGGAACGCGATGGTATTCCAAAGATCATTTGACTCATAAAGACATTTTATGAGCATACGTCGGTGCAGATGTGTATGACAGAATCCTTTGAAATAAAAAATGGTGTTCTTCAAAGCTGTGTCCTTTCTCTATAGTATTCTTCTGTACGATAGACTGGATAATGGACACTGCTTGTCGGCACTCAAGAGGTGTCCAAATCAATCCAGAGCCGTCTTAAATACGCTGATGATGTCCTTTAGTTGTGACGAAATGCAAACAATATTGAACACTCCAGCAAGAATCGGACTTAGGGTCGATGTAAATAAAACGAAAGTGTTTTCGTCTTATATACAAGACGCTGGTAAAATATTCATTTTTATCAACTCATTGCCAGCTGAAGAAGTGATCGACTTTAAATATCTTGGATCCATTCTATTCTCAAATGGCCGGGTAAAAGATAACCGGATAACGACTAGAAATGTTTCTCGGTTGACGAAATGGAATCGTCGAGAAATCACTATAAGACAAAAATGAGCGTCCATATAGCTGCAATTCGCTCGGTCTTGCTATATAGCTGCGAAACATAATACGGTATTCAGGAAAGATTTTGAACGTATAGGTAGACCAGCAATATATGGACTTGGATGATGGGAAAAGGAATGGCTTCTATTACTGTCGACGATGGTACCAGATTGCGCAACTTGGAAACTCTTGTAGCCGTTGGAGCCAGCTTAACTAGTGTGAACTGTTCGAAGAAGAAAAAAAGCCTGCGCTTAAGGAAAAAATTTTCTAGAACAACTTTCTTTATAGAGCTAACAGATGGAAAACATTGGTGTTGAATTGAATGGGAAAAGAATATTCTCCTACTCTTATAAAGCATTTTACCTATAGCATTCACCACTTAATATAAAAATTTATAAAATTTAATATAAAAATTTGAATTAATGCTTAAAAAATTATCTCATATTTAAAAAATCATATTTATCATACTTTGCTAGTGTTGCTAAAAGTTTGCCAGATTTTATAAAATTTTCCCAATCTCCATTAAATTGCGTGAAGTTCTCTCCCTTTTTTCTTTTGTTTAGTTGTTCCTCTTAAAATCTCTTCCACCAACAAAGTCCCATTTTACCCTTAGCAATATTCTCTAAAATTTCGCCTATTGCCCGTCTTACCTGGAACTTTCTCGAAATATGCTATACATTTTCCGAAAACCAGCTACGTTCTTTTATCAAATCTCCTAGTCTTTTGCCATACCTCATCAGTAAGAATTGCAAACATCATTACAGTCATTATAATCCTTGACTGGCTTCAGGGTGGAATTATATGATCCTGCAGAGGTGTTAAGGAAATGATTATGGCTAAAGACAAGTTTAGAAAATTTGTTGTATTACTGTGTATGCCTGGAAAAAACTCATCTATTTCCTTCAAAATCAGTCTCAATGCTATGTCCTCCCCACTTCTAAGTTCCACTTCTTGTTAAACTACTATATCCTATTTCTGTCCCCCTTTTAAAGTCCCACTTTTTCTTGTTATATTCTTATATTTTCTTAGACCTCACAAAAATTCTATTATATTCTATTATTATTATATGTACTCTACCTTACATCCATAACTTTTTTGGATCTATTAAACCCTTTAACAACCTCACTAAATTTGTTTAATTGAAATATCTTATTATATATTATTAATAACATTGCCTTAAACCTCCTCATGCTATTTTAATACCTTAAATACTATTAAAGTCTCTTCCCCAGAATCTGATTTCTTATCTTTAATTCCCTATGAAAGTGAACCGTATTTATTGAAATTAATTTATCATTTATATTCGGAAGAAATCACCACAACCACTAAATGTTTAACAAGAACTTTATTTTTATACAGTTGACAAAAAAATTAGAAAATACCTCAAAGTGGCGCCATTCTTATGAGATTTGTACATTTTAATGGAACAAATATATATTTCATAGAAAAATGAAAAAAAACTTAAAGGAAACACCGCTAACGGAAATATTTACAGGAAAGAAAAGAAAAGCAACGAGTATTTAGCCTTTTTTTGCAGAATCTGGTCTTTTCTGATTTATGCTGTTATTTCATGGAGCTATTTTGGCATGAAAATAATGACGGCCTTCTCTTTCACTGAAAATTTGGATTACAAACCTACAAATCTTCTATCCAAGACTTTATGATGAGGTCCCTTGTCTCATTTACCTTATATTCAGTAGAGCCAAACAAACCAAAGATGACAACTTGTGAAAAGAAGATAGTGACGAACGAAGCATGCAAACTTTTTAAATTAACTATAGAAAAAGTAAAGGGTCTTCGACCGGAGAAACGATTTCGAGTAAACGATTTTCTGCATGTTTTTTTTTCTAATAGCGCTCTATTCCGTTAACGAAGATGACGCCAGCACGACCGAAATTTCACTTTTAATTACTGGTCTTCTTCGTAGGATAAGCATGGAACTTACGGTGTCTTAATCGAAGCATTTTACTCCACTTAACTTTTTTTGTATTTATTAGGTTTTAATGCGATTTCTTGCCCTTATCTTCGATAATACAGATGAATTATTTTGTAAAATTTATAATCATTTCATACAATTTTCAATTATCTTATCAGTTTCTTACAAATCAAATTCATTGAAATAATTCCAGATTGTAAATAATAAATATTTAATTTGTAATTTATAAATTAAATTTAGACTTTTAGATTCAACAAGAAGTTAATCCAAGTAGAATGTTTCCTCACCTTGAAATTTCTTCGACCATTTTTCGACGAATTGAATCGAACTGCAATCGAACTGAAAGGTGTTAATAGGTATCATTTATGCGATTACGACAGAAACATGTGTTGTAAATTCGAACATAAATACTTAAAATCATAAAATCTCAATCGATCGAAAAAAGTAATTCTTGGGATAGGAAAAAAAAAATTTGGTAAAGCAAATAAATTCTATGGTCCTTTTTAAATTTGCTCATTTTTAAGCGAAAAGGAAAATTTCTTATTTGCTAACTCATTAATTTTAATAAATAAATAATAAATTTTCCGTAAGTTAAAAATTTACCAATTTTCTGGATATGTAGAGAACCCACTTATAATAAAAATATATTTATCCACTGTTGCTTATGCGTTTCGGGTGCTAACAATTAATTTCTGCTTCTATTCCTAGGAAAAAATTCTAACCAAACTAACACCGGAATAGCTAAATTAACCAGAAATGGTGAAAGATAACAATTTGTTTATTTATATTCAATTTTGCTTTAAAATTTTACAAGTTTGTATTAAGATGCTGGAATCATATGCCACATTATTTCTAAAACACATTATTTCTATTTTGGCTGGTCCACTTATCACTAGGATGACACTGTTCGATTAAAATATCCTAAGGTAATGAAGTATATATAGATCCAGTAGTCAATCTTTCCTGTAGTGACAACAAGTAATATTTCTCTCAGGTTATATTATTCACTTGTAGAGTATCATGCCGCTTATATGAAAATTGCCAGAGCCAAAAACTAAAATAATGGTTGATTAAGTACCACTGTTTGTCCTATTTCCCTTTAAATATTTCATAAATTTATTTTATAAATTATAAAGTTGATTAGTTCACTGGATGGCAATAAAGTTGCATAGTTTAATTGCTTTAGTCATTTGATTGATAACTTATGAGCTACACATTTCTTTATCCCAATTTAATACATCAGCTGATACTTTTAAATTTATCATTTGACATTACAACATTCTTATATTGTTCCATCAACATTCGTCGAAGAAACTTAAATGAATGAAGCACTACGAGCTACTTTAGAATAATCCAATTAGCTGCTTTTTTCCTGGGATAGCCGCTAGATTTTGGAAAAACATTAAATGAAGGATATTCCATAAACGCACAGTTTTAGGAACTTATCTTTATGCTTACCACTCATTTTGTTGTCATCACTCATCTTCTATCGTCAATTGACTTTCGGCAAAAATTTCTACGGTACTACGAGAGGAAGAGTAATTTCCCAGCAGAACTAGTCTAACCGATAATGATGAAAGTTAGCCACTCTTAAATATGAAAGATGGCTATTCTAATTATCATTATTTTAGTAATTTCTTCATACTTTACAACTCTTTAATTTCTATATAACATTGGAAATTTTTGGAAAAAAGATGATTTCTGCTGGATTTCTGAAACGATTCAGAAGTTGGTTCTTTAAGGATTATTTTATTGTTGATCGTCCCATTTCATATTTACTTCGGGGCATAAGCGTATTTAAGAAATTTTGGAAGGTTAATTATTGCTATTTTGTTTAAAAATTTGTTTATTTCTATGAAAATTATAAATTAATTACTTTTAATTCAAGAAAAAAATAATCATAAATAATTAAAATAAATAATTAAAAGGCAAATAATTTAAAATAAAAATAATTAAAATAATTAATAATAATAAAAATAATAACGCAAAAACTCTGAGGTATTTACGAAATTTTGAGATCTTCGAAAACACTTGATCTTCATTTTATTTTTATTTATTCTTGGTTATAAAGAGTGGCTGAAATAAACCAATTAAAGTCAAATCCGGTTGAAGTCAAATTGGAATTATTTCTATTCCTAAACCAAAGGTGATGGCAGAGAGTAACTTCATTTAATCGTGCAAACCTCTTTTTACGATTTTTTTACAATAAGAAGATCAAATGTAAGGCAAAATTGAATCTTAACAAGAATTGGCTTATAAAAAATCATAAACATTATATCAGAGTTCGATTATAGATTAAATCGTCGTTGAATAGCTCGTATCCGTTCACCGTAATTTGCAATAACTTCTTGCCTTTTTCGTTCTTCGATTTCAGCATTTTCAGCATCATAATTTAAGGTGCTTGTACCAACCAATGTCTCACGATTCAGACTTCCTCGAAGTAGCACACATACTCCATTTAAGATAAAACGACTTTCGAAGGTTATCTGGAAATGCGCAACTCTGGAAAATATGTTCAAATACCTAGGTTTAGTTTAGTCTAGATTTAGTTTTACACTGAAACTCTACTTTAAGGTTGTGACGACTGATGAGATATGGTAAATTAATGGTAAAGAAATTGGAGCAGAGTATTTCCTGCTCTTTGTTGTTCATTGAAAATTGAAAATTTTCATATTCATGGAAAAATCGATTGATTTATTATTAAATTTAATTGTGGTAAAATGGCGCATGGACATATTAATAATAAACAGTACAAGTAGAGTATCATGGGTTCGATTCCTTTTCTTTGATGAGAAATCTGCTACTGAAAGCAAGTGCAGAAGGCTTGGTTTATTTTTATCCACAAGTGACTCTCTGGTGAAGAAGTACCATTCCAATAGTCATTGAACCTAACCAAACGATGACGTTAGAAGAAGAAATAATAAGAAATAGTTTAGTTTAGTATAATAATAGTTTATAAATAAAGAATTTAAACTTAAAGAATTCCATAAATGAATAAAATTTCCAAACTTCCATCTATTTCCTATTGATTAAATTGTATCGATGGGTGATTTCACAAAATTTTTTATTAATTGTTGTTAATTGCATAATCAACCTATTTTTTATTAATTTTTTATTAATTTTTTATTAATTGCATAATCAACCTATATTAATTAAGGGAAGTCAAATTCTTCATGAAAGCGTTATTTTTTATTTTATTCGATAAAAATCAAGAGCAAATGCGATTAGATCGAAATTTTCATGAAAATTAATTTTAATTTTTTGAGCGGTGATTCTTCCAACTAAAATTTCAGTCACTCTTAACTGATTGTACTGATTAATTTATTTATTTCATTTTACATGGAATATTGTGGTTAAGTTGGGGTATTTCGCTTAAATTACCATTTCAAGCATGATTGTTTCGATTCTTTGCCGACAGAAATGGATTGTTTTCAAAAAACAAATTGAGATGGTGATAAAGATTTATTCATAGATATCCTGTAAGGAAAATTGCTCACTCTAATAGCAATCCAATTATTCCATTTTAAAAGCCAATCAATGAGCCTTAACAGGAATATTATAAAAAATTTTGCTCCATTATATAAATGAAATATTAAAAATTTAAAATATTTTTTTCATTTTTAAAGCTTTTTAACTTGGATTTCCATAAAATAACATCTAATCTGATAATAATAATTCCGATATCATATGAAATTGTTGCCAAAAAATTATGGAAATGTGATAAAGCTATGCACTTAGCGATTTATTATAATAATCATATGATAAAGGTAAAATATTAAAACTCTGAAAATTATGAATAATAAATAAATGAATAATAAGTAAATAAAATTTGCTAACTAAAAGACTATTCAAACATAGGAAACTCCAGGAATTCTCAAAAACAATACGGACAATTTAAAGGAACGCAAACCAGTTGCCTTCGAATTAAGCAAACCTGGACATAATAGAAATGGGCCTAGTAATGATAATAATGTTTTATTTTCAGTATTTAAAACATTTTTAATATGTTAAAATAAAAAGTATGTCAAAATACTTATAAAATAAAAAGTATTGGAGATAGGATGGCTTAGTGGGTTGTTGCTCAATTCAGTTCGTATAAAAAATATTAAAATTGTAGAGTCAGTTAAAAAACGGACTGAATAGGTAAATTAGTAAATGTTTACGCAAAAATCTGAGAAAAGTAGAATGAGTCTTATGGATGTTCTTATTGGGTACAAGTTCTGAATACTACGATAATAAAACTACTACAAAGCTGAATGAGTAACCCAATTGTTAATTATTATTCAAATATTATTAAATATTCAAATTCAAATATTGTTTAACTACATTAAGCTTTATCATCAGTCAATTTTCAATATTTTCAAGTAGCAAAATGAATAAAATTTTACTTCATTTTGTCCAACTGTGCATGATGATAATACGAAATCACTGTTATAACCAAATTGAGTGAATGTCTGAAATTGATTGAGCACGTACGAGGTATGAGGAATGCATGAAAATAAATTAAGTAAATTTTAATCGACGACAAATTATACTTTCAGAGAAAAGATAAGTTTAAAGGTTTATTGTATCATCTTTGAAAATCTTTCATAATTTGGCTACTTCGCTAAACTGTATTAACCATTCCTGTAATAGCATTGATCTTCTGGTTTGGCTATTTTGTCCCTTTTATTAGAGACCAACATGATGAGTAGAAGTATAGGCAGATCTTCATCATCGCCTGGATTTTATTTTAGTGGTAGATTTACTTTAATGATGCAATTATCGGTCTTACTCCAGCTACAGCTTTTCTTTCTTTTACTATATTATGTTATCTATTTGAAGAATGAATTCGAAGCATATTGATAAAAAATACCGATAAAACTATCGACTGATATAGCCATACCTTTACTAGTTTCAGTGATTGCTCGATTCTGAATTTAGTGCGCTTATAGAATTATCTTATGCTTATATCAAAAAACTAAATGGATCTATTTGCAGTTCATAGGAAATTTCAAAGAAAATAGGGCTATCATTGTTTTGTACCATCTGTTAATATAATTTAAGTGTAAATAGGTTCAAATTCTGGAACGTCAGTGTTATTTCCATCTGCTGCTAGTGGGATCACAAATTTTTGTTAATTATTGTTAATTATTTTGGTGATAAAAGTGCGAATCGGCAGGTCGCCAGCATCATTCGCATTTCTTAAGTTAATTTATCTATCAGAGGATGGAGCCGAACCTTTGTCTTTCCACACTATATTCTATTTCATTTGAGTATGCTGCCTTTCTTATTATAATTTATTATTATATTATAATGAGAACTCCGTCGTCAAACTAAGTTTGATTTACCGATCATAGACTATAGGTTGAAACTGTGCAGCTAAGATATTTCCAAAAAAATTTTGAAGCTTAAAAAATTGTGAATGTTGTGAATTGATGTAAGTAAAGATGTTCGTTCAGCTTTTCATCAGTTAACCAGTTTTCAAGAAACAATCAGTTTTGTTGACTTATTTTATTTATATAATTTCGAGGTTTAACTTCTTGAAATCTGACACTTTTTAAAGGCTTTTTTTATCTTTCAAAATATAAAATCGAATTTGAACTGAACAAGCAATATTACTAGTAAATACGACAAGAATTTAGCAAAATTTATAGTGAAGCGAGTTCTAAATTTATATTTTTTTAAATTTTAAGTTTTAGTTCTTTTTTTTTTAAATCTTATAATTATAAGATATTTTTATTTTGAGATATTTTGAGACCTTCATGCGGATCAAGAAGCGCACCGTTCTATAGTATTTCCCAGCACAGCCAACAAAACCAATAATGATGAGTGCTTAATTCAGTTTAGCTGAATTTTCTGCATGTTAGGGTCAGCAGATCAAGAAAGAATCCGAGGTTCATTTGGTGAATCAAGAAAAGTCCAAATTGTTACTTTTTAAAATTTATCTATCGTTTGAAGCAGAATGCGAAATGGAAAATGAAAAAACATTCTGAACTAACTAGGGGTATATGAGGACGTTGTCTATCGCTGCAACTTTGTAATAACGAGGTGCTTCGCTCTGCTTGAGGTGCATGAAGGAATCCTGCATACGCAATCTGAGTAGGACCTATTAATTGCCTGATTTCCGGGTCCGCTTCTGAAATCGATAATTACATAAAAATATGGAAATAGCATCTTGGAGATATCAATGATATGTTAATGGATTTGAATACTACCGTTGTTTCGTTTAACCTTGCAAACTCGCTCACATTTCAATATTGCTTTTGTTGATGAAATTTTCAAAAATTTTAAAGGAATTTTAGTGGAGGAATGTGCTATGCTAATTGCGGGTATTTGGTATAGTTAAAAACTCAAATAAAAAGAGAGAAAAGAATCATAGAAATTCGGAGAAATTTTAGGCTAATAAAACCACAGCGAGCAAGGTGAAACTTCTGATGAAAATTTTATGAATTATGGAAGTTTCGTGGTTAAATAATAATTAAACAAATATTTTGAAATAGTATTATTACGCACAAATTATTATTCCTCAAAATTTAGTTATTTAACTGCTCTCATAGATCGATGACAGATGACGCTCGTTTAGCGGTTACGCGATTCGTCTGCTTGTACCACCATAAGTTAAATGAATTGAATGGATAAAAGGATATGATGAAGAGAACTAATTATATTCTCAAAAAACAAAGCTTTCCATTAATTATCACCTATCGTAGGTTTAAAAAGCAAATTAAGCCGAACGCAGCCATCATAATTAATAAGTATTTAGGCAGAAAATGCGAAGACATAAACGGAATTTATAGGCGTGAAATTCCGTGGAGCTACCGTTTAGCTTAAGAAATCGATGGAATAACTCACCGAATCTACGTTGTTGATCTTCAACTACAGAAGGCATACGCCACCTCATACCGTTAAAAACTTTTAGCAATAACCATATCAGAAATCACAGAATATCAATCGCGAATGAACAGCAGCAATCCACTGAACCTTTGTTGAGTGGTCCGCCTATGATAATGCTCCCGCCCTTTTCAACACTTTTCCGAAATGTTTCCTTGAGTCGTTTTCCTGCACTAATGTTTATTTAACAATTTACTCCTTTCTCCCCGTTCCCCATAATCCCCTCCCCCTCCCCTCGTCCTATTTTAATTTTAAAAAAATATAGGCCACCGTATTCTCTTTTAGAGGGTTTTAAATCGTATTTGAATGGATATATGCTGCTAATTTTGCCTTACAAGGTTATAATTTTTTTTCCAATAATACAAATCGTTTCTGGTTTGGCGTCTTAGCAGTTAGGAACAAAGTTCGATTAACTGTTAAATGTTAAGATGAGATTTTTCTACCAATGAGTCACAGGGGAACTTTAGGTATTTTCCCAGAACCTTTACAGCTTGGACATGGAACCGAGCCTACCATTAGTTCCGTATAGTCATTGGACAGCGTTCTCATCGAAGAATTCGATGATTCCACGCTATTTTCAATCAAATTTGTCGTTGATGACGTTGATTGTAGAAATTTAGATGATTAAATTTAGACGAACGCTAAGCAATACTCTTATTTGATAGGTTTACTTCCGTGAAGAATTTAACGGTAACAGTAATGCACCAATCACCACTCGATCATCCAGCATCTCACTTCGCGCAATATTAGTCATCTAGGTTATCTGGGTTTTCCTAGATTTATCATCAGCATTAAATTATATACTATATGCTCACAGAATGCACAAAATTGCTATTCTTGTTACAGGTTTAAAAAAGTAGTCTAATAAGATTGCGTTGATTGTTTGAGTGATAATAGTACGTTTTGATCGTAGTTAATTGGTTAATAACAGCACGAGATAGCAGAATGGATCTTAATCAGATGGATTCGGACCGGGACGCGGTTATACCGGTTAGTTATTTAGAAGGGTGCTGGAACACTGTTTCAAGTACCATCAATCCACCGTCACCAGCTTTATCGATTTTGTAGCTGCCTTCGATTCGATTAATAAAGTAGTGCTCTGGAAAATGGTGGAATATGACGGTATTCTAGAGAAGATCATTCAGCTCAATAAATACATTTTATCACCATACCTTGGCACAGTTCTGTGCATATGGAGAAATGATTGACCCTTTTCTGGTGTCCATCAAGAATGCGTCCCTTCCCCTACATATTCAATAGAATGGATAATGGGCATCGCTCGTCAGCACTCAAGAGATATGCAAATCAGTCCAGAGCATCTTGAATACGCTGATGATATAGCACTTTTTGCAATGAAATGCGAATAGTGTTAAACAATGTGTCAACAACTGAAGCGAGAATTAGACCGAAAATCAATGTAAATAAAACGAAAAGTGTTTTCGTCTTATATACAGATGCTGATAAAATATTTATTTTTATCAACTCATTGCCAGTTGAAAAGTGAATATCTTGGACCCGAATTTAAATATCTTGGATCCATTCTATTCTCAAATGGCCAGGTAAAAGACAACCCGGATAACGACTAGGAATGTTTTGCGGTTGACAGACGAAATTTTTATGAAGTCATCGCGAAATCACTATAAGACAAAAATCACCGTCCATATAGCTGCAACTCGCTCGATCTTACTATATGGCTTGGAAATATGACCAGTGAGAGTGGTGGATATTAAGATGATATCTGCCTTTGACCATTCATGTCCAAGATACATTTTACAGGTCCGACGAGTGGATAAAATCTCACATGATCGCATTCACCTTCGTTCACTTGCATTAACAGTACTGCCACAGAGCGTTGCCTTCGCTGCACGTTCTCCACCACAGGAATTGACGCATATTTCGCTATTTGACGAACGCTGCGATGGTTGGCGTCAAAAGTGAGAAGGGCCAATCAAGACTTGGACTGATACAGCCACGAAAGATTTTGAATGTATAGGAAGACCAGCGATATTTGGACTCAGACGGGGAAAAGGAATGGCTTCTATTGAAAAGTTGGTCATTTTTTCGTTTGGTGGCTTTTTTAAATCTTGTGGCTTCAGGCAGAATCGTTGCGAGGCATATCGCTTCGACTAAAGGCAACTACCATAGGTTCCATTCCGACGAGACTATGTTACGACGAGACTAAGTTTGTCGTTAAAAGCAAAGTTTTACTGGTGCCGTAAATCCTTCCTTATTTCTACATTTAAGATGAATGGATCACTCCTAGTGATAAACAGTGATTGCTGTTAGAAGAAAAAATTTATTCATCGAAAAATTTGTAGGAAAATATATTTATTAAATTAGTTGATAGCTATGTAAATTGCATGAAATTTTTTGTATGCCAGTGAAAATTAAACGATAATTAGATGATTGTAAGTGATAAGTGTGAATGGTGTGTTCATGTAAAAAGGCATTAAAGATAATGCTATTCATGTTATTCGATGTTATGTCGGTCATTTGTTAAAGAGGACATCGGTCAATCACATTTGCGGCGATAATCATTCGTGATCTGTGTGCTATAAACTGATAAAATCTCACATTAGAAGAAGTTTAACCGCATTTTTTCTCGCTCGATTCTTTTAACTATTCAAAAAATGTTTCCTTTAAATTTCCTATGAAAATATTATATTAAAAAGAAATTTTATTATATTATATTATAATTTTATTATATTATATTGTTACATTATATATAGAAATTATTATAAAAAAAAATTTTTAGAAAAGTAATTTTCGTTATTTTTTCAGTTTTTTATCAAAATCAAACAAAAATATAATTTAGTCCGAATAATTTCATGCGATTTCTTTAATTTTGTCATGTTGAATATGTTGAATTAATTTTAAATTTTTATTATTATTATTTATTCACTAAACGCTTGTTTAGTAAATAAGAGGCTATGTCCGCCATAGCCTCTTTTGATAAAATATTCGCCAAAAATTAATTATTTATTTAATGTGTGCTTTACAAAATTAAAAATTATTCATTTACATTCACAAAAATTTTGGCCAAATCACTTGTATTGGATCGAAATGGCTATTGCTTCATTTTTTGCCAAAAACTTCATTTTGAATAATTAGGCACTTGCCACGATATTATATATAGCGATCAAGTAATCAAGTAATTTTTTTAAAATCATTCCTCTACAGTTAAAGATTATTCGAAAGAAATTTGCTCGAAATCTATGCATTTTATTATTTCAAACACAAACAATATATTGATAAATCCATTAACAAATATTTGTAAAGTTTTCACTTTTTATTTATAATGGACCAACAAATAAAAGAACTGAATATAAATACAAATATGGGAATAAAAATGTTGATACGAGATGGTGATCAGCCGATATTTATGGCAGTTACTCATAGATTTCATAGATCTTATCAGTTGTAATCATAAGAGAATGAGCGATGTATCAGTTTTCAACGATAATAGTAGTTCGAAATTTTCTAAATCCATATAATTCATCTATTCAACTATTCTTTGCCGATCTCGGTTCGTGCAATGTTATTTATTTATTATTATAAATATATTATATATTTATTATTATAAATATAAATAAATATATAAATTGGCACGTGCTAATTTAGGGACATATTAATGATGAAAGCATGTTAGCTCATATATAAAAGTTATCAGGTTCTTGTGAGGATACAACAAATTCTGCATTGCGACACATATCTTAATTCGTCGTGAAATTTCCGGTGACTTGATGATAATTTGCTTGCTTAATTAGACTGCTGGTTTCTAGTATTGCTTACAAAGTTATTCCATTCCATATTCCATTTATCATACAGTAAAATTATAATATAGTATTTTGAAAATTGTTATTATGTTATTAAAATAAGACTAATGATGCAGCTGTACTTTTATAATCCTGGTGCAGTCGTTAATTGCAATATTAATAAATGAAATAAATAAAAATATTCCTGGCAATAATTTCTTTTTTATTTTTTTGTCGTTTTTTTTCGTTGGAATTTCATTGATTTAAAAAAAAGATTTTCTCGTTGTTATCAGATTCGGTAATAGTTTACGGCGTTTAACTTATTTTCTTCTACCAGTTTTTATTACAAAAATTCGAATAAAAAATATTTTTGACCTATTTAATGATTTTTTTCTTAATCTGCAGTTATAATTGATGCAGAAAACGAGGATTTATTACCAAAAGCTTAAAAAATTATGTATATCGCTTATTGTTAAAAGGGAAGGAAAATTAATTGGTATGCTTTAACCTAAGTAAAACAACTTGATCTCTTGGAGCTCGCCATCGAACTTTGGGTAATGCTCTTTGGACATTGTAATTCGTACGGCTATCCCTAATTCTCTGGCGAAGAGGCTTTATCCTATTAGCCACTGCAGTCAGCAAACAGTGAATACTATTAGAAAGAGAAGGCAATCATTAAATATCTCCAACAAAATTTTTTGGCTGCCGTCATAACTTCTAGCAAGAGAACATAAACTCATCAAAAATCATTGTGCTCTGTCGAAAGTGATGGTTTTATTATTAGAACAAAATCGATAGGTTAAATTTGGCGATGCATTCGCAAATTACTTTAACTCAATTTGATTTTTATGGCTTTAAAAAAATGAAATTCTTTATTGGAAAAATTTTATCAAAAGTTTGGGCATTTATTACGAAAAATTGTTTGCAACAGTGTTATTTATTCGAATAGAATTATAAAATTGATTATAATTTGTAAATATAATTTGCAGTTAGTTAATTTAAATTCTGAAATCGAATTCTTCGCAATTCTTTGCTTTTTATTATTTAAATACTCTAAACAAAGACGTACAATTATTATAGAAATACAGTAAAGTGATGACGAAAATCGAAAAGTTCTGAGAATTTCTGGCGCATTTGGATTCATCGCCACATGTTTCATTAATTTATGCTTTTATTAATGAGAATGAAACTAATAATTTAAAAATAATAATTTTAGCAATAAAGAAAATTTTTTTTGGCAAATTCCGTTGACAAT